TACTGGATCAAGGGGTACCAATCTTTGTGACTTTTGCCATATACTGCCAAATAATGTTTCAAAAAGCTTTTTACCAACTTACAATGTTACCAGCAATGAGTAAGTGTTTACTGGTTCCAAGGTAACCATATTAGCACTGGGCTTTCCTTTTGTGTTTGTTGACTTAACAGATGGAAAATGTACCTCACTGCTGTCTGAATATGCTCATCTTTGCATACCAGTGAGGCTGAACATTTTTTCAGGCATTCATTTACTCTGTGATAGAACATGAATGTCTTTTACCCGTCTACCTACTGGAGAATTCACTCAGCCAACAGTTACGGAGCATCTCCTTTTGTTCTGTGTTTTCCTTTTCAGTACTTTTTCCCCAGCTCTACTGAAGTATAATTGCAACAATTGTACATATTTAAGGTATACAATGTGATGGCTTGACATATGCACACACTGTGAAATAATTACTGCAATCAAGTTAACACAGCCATTACCTCACAGTTACCATTTTGTGTATGTGTAGTGAGAATACTTAAGATCTACTCTCTCGGCACATTTTTATATATTTGATTCCATTGATCTTTTCCTTTCTGACCTCTTTCATTTTTTTTTTTTGGCTGCACCGCGTGGCTTACGGGATCTTAGTTCCCCGACCAGGGATTGAACCTGGGGCCACAGCAGTGAGAGTGTGGAGTCCTAACCACTGGACCACCAGGGAATTCCCCTGACTTATATCATTTTATAGTTACAAGGTTATCATACTTCCAGGGATTTGATTATTATCCTATTTTCTGTGGTCTTATTTAAATAAGTTTCTAGGAGTCTCTCATAAATATATTCTCCTATAATTATACAATTTAAAGTTCTAATTCCTACTTCATGATTCTTGACCTTTAACATATCTAGCTTTTTTATCAGAAGCACTTAATTTAAAACAAGATTTAAAGTAAAAGTTGGACTTCTTCTCTTTTACACAGGCTATGTTGTATTAAAAATAATTAACTAAAAAAAATTATCCTGCTGCAACCAGAAGTGAATCCAGGTTTGTTAATGAAGATTCAACCCCAAAGAGCCTGGTTAAGATCTCCTTCTCTTTCTCGGGTCCAAGGAAGAGATATTTAGAACCACCACTGCATGACTGCTCTTTCTTAGGACTGCTTTAGGGTAGAGTCCCCTTCGCCACTCAAAGAGGCGAGTCCTCAGAGTAGCCACGGTATGAGCAGCTGCTTGTTGGAACTGCAGAACCTCAGGCCTGCCCCAGACCTGCTGCACCGGAATCTACACGTTAAAGGCTGAAAAGCACTGACGTAGACCACGGGATTCCCCCCAGCTCTGCTGACGCCCCTGCTCCGAATCAGGCACCATCAGAAGGTATCCCTCCCCTCAGATGTCTACCCTCAACCCTTTGAAGGTACCCCCTTCAAATGAACATCACCCAGCATATCGTGCACCTGAAAATTCACATGCTGAGGTTCTGAAAGGAAGGATGGCTCTAACTTTGCAGTCGCAATTTCACCCAGCCCTGGGATTGAAAAGTCACATGCACGTAAGAGCCAAGCAGGTCTTACAAATGAGTAAGACATTCAGATAATGGCACCTGACCCTTGTCCTTAGTGTCAAGGAGATAACACAGCGCTGGCGGCCGTGGCAAGTTTCAGAGTTCATGCTCTATCTAAAGATCCAGCGGCTATTGGCCCCAGCCCAGCGTTGCCCAACAGGAATGCAGGCTCCATGCTGTCAGATCTTCCGATATCTCAAGAGAAGATGAAAATCTGCATTTTTAAAAAAATGTGAAATCTCTCAATTTCTAAATGCTTGGCAATTCACTGAAAATCTTAAAGGAACCCCCTCTGCGTGCCAGATCCAGCCCAGCAGTTTCAGACCTTGGCTCCAGATGGACGGTTTCCAAACTCTTTAAGCCTGTGTGACCCATCTGTGCACCAAGAAGAGAGGTCACGTCAAGATCGATGGTACATGGCACTGACATACATGCACTATCAAATGTCAAATAGACAGCTAGTGGGAAGCAGCCCCACAGCACAGGGAGGTCAGCTCGTGCTTTGTGACCACCTAGAGGGGTGGGATAGGGAGGGTGGGAGGGAGACGCAAGAGGGAGGGGATATGGGGATGATTCACTTTGTTATACAGCAGCAACTCACACAACATTGTAAAGCAATTATACTCCAATAAAGAGGTTAGGGGAAAAAAAAGTCAACCAAGTTTAAAAAAAAAAAGATCAATGGTACAAATCAAATAACTACGACTACTGCTTTTAAAAATTTTGTTTTGTGAATATTAAAAACTGCCAAATCAATCATGAAAGCGACCTTATGTCAATGATACAAATATTTCCTAGATGTGAAATAAGTGCTCATTAACAATATCGTCTCTACTACAAAAACAAATACGTAGAGTACCCAGCTCAAGTATGCATTAAGAATTATGTTGTGTTCAAGTTTTTGTTCCAAGTAATTCCATACCTAAAGGGCAGCCAAATGGGACAATTTCAAGTCCCTGAATTATCAAGTTTACCTGTGATAAATGCTGTACTGAACATAAAACGGGACACATTACCATTAAAAAATATATATCCTCATGTGGAAACTGCAGAGTCCATTCTCCTAAACTGTCCAATTTTTCCAAATAAACTTTAAAAATCTAGAGTGTGAAATATACAGTTTACATCTGTTTTCATTTGGGGGACATTTGGGTCCCAGGCACAGCTGCATCTCCAGGAATTAAGGCATCCTTTATTATTTGCACATGCTTACACGGAGGTGGCTCAAGGGGCAGACTGGAGACAGGGACTTTGCTTTGTACGCCTGAACCCATACTGGTCTACTCAATACCGGGCAATTTAATTTAAATAGGAAAATCAATTTTCAGTTTCCTCTTCTGCAAAAGGAAAGTAATCCAGGGATGTCCTATACTTGAAGAATATCAGACGAAAATGTATCACATTCTTTTTGTTTTGCTCACTCCTACGTTCCTGGCCTAGTCCACAGTAGGGCTGAACGAATGAATGAATAAAAGAAATGAAGAAAGATCATAAGATACCACTGCATCGTGACTGTTGAACTGTGTTACATCAATCCCATAGATTTCTGTCACGGTGAAACAGAATTTAATGGATTCTATTTCATTAACTCACTTGAGAAACTCACGGCTCTAAAAGAAAACCCAAAGATGCTAAGTTTTGGTCAAATTAAAGATGTCACTGAGGTATTCTTAATATCACAAAACCACTTCAAATATGTGTTCAAAGGACTTCAAATTAAAATGTTCCATTTTAGGAATACAGTCTTGTACACATAGTTTCTATTAAAGTTTTTTTTACTGACAAGAGTTTGTCAAGGCTGCAGACTGCTGTGGAATTACTAAGGGCATACAATGCACGCGAACGGCCAAGGTTCACCTGGCCAGCATTTCCCACTCAGTTGACGGGAGGATGTTTTGAACTCATCTGTGTATGGCCTTCAACAATCTAGTCTCTCTTGCTGTGGAAAAATAAAAGTAAGAGCTGTGAAAGGGCACAGAGTGAAAACCTCTGCTCCTTAAACAGGGCACTGCTTTTCAACTGCCCTAGGGCTCCTTGGAGGAGAAGGGTCGCAGCCTCCTACTTGAGCCCAGGCAGTTCTGGTTGGGTATTCTCGGCTGGGGTTTTAGACCTCATGTTTTTATTTGAAGACAGGCTTTTATCATTTAAAAAAAAGTTTGAAAACAACCCTTTTAGGTGAAGGCTGTGGATGATAGTAATGCCAGGGCTTAAATCTGAAGATGGAAGAGCCGACTGAGGCTGACACCTGAGAGAAACTGCCGCAGCTTTTGTCACAGGGCCAGTTTAAAGCCCCAGGCCCTGGGAACGACTGCCAGCGACCATCGTAACGGATGAAATCGATCAAATTCAGATTAAACACTTCTAAAAAGCTGTCCTACTTTTTCACTCTTTAGGGTTTATATTTTATAGTCGTATTTAGGGTTTAATATAATATACTTGCATATATATTTTAAAATCTCTGGAGAATCCTGCATCAAGTAGATGTAAGAAAGGCAACTCTCACCACCTAGGAAGCATCAACCCTAACCGAAATAAAAGGCCCTACATTGAATGTGGGACTGAGCATGGAATGGGGCAGGGTGGAGGGGAAGGCAAAAACGCAGCAACCTTTCGATGGATGCAAGTGGAAATCCTGAGTGGTCTGGTGCAGCGAATGTCACCACCTCTCTTATAAACACAAGGAGACTGGGGCCCAGGAAAGCAGAAAGACCGTGGCCCCTTACACTGTGCCTGGAGGAACCGTCTTGCAGACTCCCTTCCTTTCCACATCCAAAGGTGAACGTCCCCCATCTCTCAAGAGAGAGAAATGAGCAAGCCGGCACCGTCACAGAGTGTCCAGAAGCCGCCGAGGCGAAAGGAAGAGGACGGAGGATGCCTATCCAGGGCATGTTAAATGGAAGGCCTGGCGCACCCCACTGCTCACACCCACGCGGCTGCACTTAGAACTTCAGTCCTAGCGAGAGAAAGATCTGGCGGCCCACGGTAATGTGGTTCCATGGAAACACTCCAAATCACCAGGTTCTGCAGTGGCAGCTCCACAGGACGGCTCGGCTCACCCCAGGCGGAAGAGTCCTGACAGCTGGCCGGGCGGCCCAGCCTTGCGGGGCTCCGGCCCAGGGTCTGCTCCATGCGGCTTTCCTGCTCCCTACTGTTCACGCGGCAGCACGAGCAGAGCTACACCCTCAAGCAGGCCTCTGACCATCCTGCTGTGCTTGCCACACTCACGTTCCATGCCCCCAAATGAAAAGCAAATGAGATGTGTCTGCCCTTGAAAAGGCATTCCCCAGAGACCCAGCATCTAGCGTAAGCGGTGATGTCGCTCAGCTCAATTAAAACAAACCCCTTCGAGGCTACGGTACAGACAGAGATCTTTGTACAACGTTGAGCCTAACACCACACACCAGGAGGTGGAGATCAGTGTTAAGAATGTGTGGCGACTCGGAAAACTTACCTCACACTGGATGTGTGCAGAACGGGATGTATTCAGTGAGGGCGGGACGCAGCTGACAACAACCTCCGACGTACCTAAGTTAGGAAACAATGAGAATCAAGAGGTCAAGTTACCTTTTCAGAAGAAAAGTTAGAAATTCCTAAAAAACAAAACCAAAAATCAACTTCCTTTGACATGGCTCACGGTAACACGTTCTGCTTTGTATTTACAACCCTTAGAGCTAAAGGAAAACTGCCAAGATGTTCTGCATATTTCCCCAAATGTCTGTTTATCATATAACATTCGCACCGGCAGTGGATCTGGCCCCCTCATTATCAAGCTGTATTAGCTCAAACACTCAGCATTGTTAGCGGAGTGAGCTCATGGCCTATTTCAGTTTTAAATTAACATTTGGCAATCACCCGGGTAATCAAAACAAATGACTCAGTCGTTTAGAATAGATTTATTAGTTGAGCCTTTTTTTTCCCCCCTCTTTTAACAGCTCTAGAATATTTTGCCACAGGAGGGCTCAGATCCAGACAGAATGTAGAGCACAAGTCACCAGAGGAATATTTAGAGGTGTTGCCATGGAGATGAGGTGCCTTGCGACCACTGAAGTTATCTCCAATCAACAACCGGATTAGGACGCAGGCTGGTAGGCATGCCTAGGAAACAGGTGTGCCCTGTGCTTTTCCCATCACGACACAAAGACGGTATACCCTGACACGCTGCCCTCTCCGCACCCGCGAGGCCTCCCCACGGGCACGCTGGCATCACCACCTTAGCCACCCCCCATCATTCAGAAAGGACTGGCTGGGGCTAAGGAGAAAGGCAGTGTGATCACTGCATCATCCCCAACGTGTGAAATCCTGAAACTCACACCAAAGGCACTTTTATATGAACTGTAAAATGTACACGAGCAAATGAAATCTGAGGAAAAGACAGCTCCCAGAGAGGAGGGCCCCCCCCAGCCCCGTCTCCTCTGTTCACTGCTCTATTCCCACACCCAGAACAGTGCCTGGAACACAGGAGGCGCTCAAGAAGCATCCACCCAATGAAATAAGGCAAACATAAACCAAGGATTATAACCAGGCTCATGACTGCCCCCCGCGCCCCAACCAACCGGTTCCAGGCCAATCATCGAACAAGCAACGGTGAGAGATTTTTTCTTTTTTTTACTGTTAATGGGAAAATAAGTACCTGGTCCAGTTAGTTCAATAGGCTAATGGGTTCATCTGTTTAGAGACCTTAATGACAACTGTCACAGTTGAAGACAACTCTTCCAAACTTGAAATGGACAAGTCCGCTGACTATAGGGACAGGGGTCTTGTCCGCCAGATCAAAAGCCCAGAAGGGGCTTCCCTGGTGGCGCAGTGGTTGAGAGTCCGCCTGCCAATGCAGGGGACGCGGGTTCGTGCCCCGGTCTGGGAAGATCCCACATGCCGCGGAGCGGCTGGGCCCGTGAGCCATGGCCGCTGAGCCTGCGCGTCCGGAGCCTGTGCTCCGCAACGGGAGAGGCCACGACAGTGAGAGGCCCGCGTACCGCAAAAAAAAAAAAAAAAAAAGCCCAGAGGAAGGCAAATTTGTGCCAGCGACAAAGAGCTAACTTTCAAAAGCAAATGCTTGAAAGTGACTGACTCCAACAGAATACCTTCTAGTCCCCTTCCCACCTATACTTAAGTAGAGATAATATTTTCTTATTCTATCATATGAATAATGCAGCATTGGTTTTATATTATACCTCATTTGTCTTACAGGACTTTAAGTTTCTTGGTGACAGGGACAGAAATCCCTGCTTTCTCTTCTATCTCCCGGGACTCAGCACGGTATGTACACACAAAAGCCTTGGCTAAGTCTCTTCTCCCACCACCCACACCCCACTCACACAGAACTCAGTTTCTAGAAGGTGCCACACCCTTTCATGCAGCTGCGGGGAGAATGCAGCATGGCGCAGCTGTTCATAGCAAGGGCGCCAGAGTCAGGCTGCCTGGGTTCACATACTGGCCCCGCCTCATATTAACTGTACAACCTCTGCGAACCTCATGTTAGCTGACCTCACAGAGAGGCTGTAAGGTGGCAACAGGGCAGTGCATATAAAGCACTTAACAAGGCCTCACGCATACAAGGTACTCACCGAATATCAGATATATAATTAACACTACTATTCCAGCAGGCGCAGAGTGAAAAGGTTATCAAAATTGGATAACCATTTCATATGCTGCCTCAGATACCTGGCCCCAAATATACCCCTACTTAGATCGAACCCGACTTAAACTTTGAACCTGAATCCATCACACTCCAGCCTTATTATACTAGTCCATTTTACTCACCCTTCCAGAACCAATTTTTCCTAGAGATGGATTTGATACATGCTGGGCTCTACTCGAAGGAATCCCGTTCTCTAAAGAACCAGAAGAGCTTCCTCCCTGAGACCCCAACCCGGCCAGTACCTTCCCTTCCTTCTCTCTGTCTGCTCCCTACCTCTGCAAATTCAGGCTTTAATGGGGCCGGGGGAGGCCAGAGAACTTGGCATCTAGTAACCGCACCAAGATGCCGGCTCTCCCTCGCAGAGGAAGTCCTTGAATGTCATATTCCCTGGTGGCCTCTAGAGGGCAGAAGAGAGAAAGGCCCAAAGGCTGAGCAGGCAGAGCTCTCGCATGGGGGTCCAACTTGGGCCCCTGCCAGAGGAGTCTTGAGTTGCACAGTTCAGAGTTTGACCATCAAGAACTAGCCCACAAAGAGAGATGAAAACGTACAGCAAGATTTTAACAGCATTTCTACGTCCAGTTCACGTTACTGTGTCCCGCTTAACACTGAGCTGGGGATAAAGGCACTCAGAGCCGTAGAGTCGTGTACACTTTTCAATCTGCAGTGTGTAACTGTGGCTCCGACCAGACATAACACAAATTGTGTTGATGATATTGCGCAAGTCAAAGAGTAAAAACAGAACAGCAGCCAAACACACTGGGTAAAATGTGATGACAGCAAAGTAATCCAAAATAAAACCCAAACACTTTGGGGTCAGTCATGCTTTAAAATAAATCACGTTAATCTTATCCCACCCTGACAGAATTAATAAGTGAAATTAGACAAACCATTTATGTTATTCCAGAAGCCAGAAGCTGTGTTCTAGTGACATTTAACACACACAATCATTCTCCTTCAGGTTTAACAACGGTATTTTGGTCACAGACACTGTCAGTCCTATCACTATGGACAGCCAAGCTTAAATGATCCCCAAATCACCAATCAATTGGGTGAATTACGTGGAAAATAAAATCCAGAGACAACAGCTGTCTGAATGAATCTAAAAGACCCGTTGAATCAATCAAAATGGATGAGCCCCACAGATTCACTGTCTCCTCTAACTCTTTGAATGCGATTGTCATGGTAACCATTCCTTAATCATGTCCTTCAGAATAGTCTCTCCTACCTAAGAAACCAAAGAGCAGTGAACCCCAAATATCTTCTTAATTAGGTACAGTTGTGATGGTACTGAGCACCGCTTAGACTTCTCATTTATCCTGCTTCGATTCAAATGCTTACGCTGCTATGGTCGTTAGAGACATCGGCATTTGCACCATCCAGAAACACACTTGAAATGTTGCCATAACATGCAACAGGAAATACAAACGAGATGGCCACCGACTTCTTTCCTTTAGCAGAGGAACTGATAAAGTGGCTCTTATTCAGCAAAATAATTAATTGGTATAAATAAATGGTTCAGATAAAAGATGCCTCATTTTAATAATTTCAACATAATCAGGATCTGCAATATCATCGAGTCTTTACCAGCACATTAACTTAATAAACAAAATCCAAGAGGATATTATGTTATAGAAATATAATGAAGTCTAATTTTGTGTCCTTAGACTGAGTATAATATACTCTATACTATGTCTGGAAGACCATTTATTCCACACAAGTTTCTACATCTATTATTTTATATGATATAATATTCTTCAAAATTTGCAAAGAGAAAGGTTTTATCTTTACTCAGTCTGGGAAAAGAGAGGTTATATTTTTTAAAAGGTATCTACTAGATATACTACACATTTCAAGTTGTGATCCTTCTAGATTCATCCTTAGATTTTTATAGTTCCTTCAGAAAACTAAAAAGTGCACAACTTTTCCAAAGTTAGAGTGGTGACCATTTTAAAATATTGCATTGGAATATATGGAACGCTTTAAAATATCAAATGTGCTGTTACAGGTTTGCAACTAGTAATAAAAGGTCTCTCCTTCCAGATACGGCACAACCTGTAAACTAACAAAAGGATGAAAGGTAAGCAGTGTGCCCACCAGGCCCCCAATAAGCTCTAAGGAGAAATTTCAATGGGCCATTTCTGGATGCAAATTTAAAGAATTTGTGGTCACAAAGGGGGGATAAGAAATAAAAATACACGCGTTCCTTTTTAACTGGCACACTAAAACATGAAGAATACTTTTGCTACAAACACAAAAATAATCAAGTGGGACCACATCAAATGAAAAAGCTTCTGCACAGCAAAGGAAATGATCAACAAAATGAAAAGGCAACCTACGGAATGGGAGAAAAATATTTGCAAATCATGTATCTGATCAGGAACTAGTATCCAAAATATACAAAGACCTCATACAACTCAATGGCAAAATAAACAATCCAATTTAAGAAATGGGCAGTGGAGCTGAATAGACATTTTCGCAAAGAACAAACACATGGCCAGCAGGTACATGAGAAGATGCTCAACATCACTAATCATCAGGGAAATGCAAATCAAAACCACAATGAGATACCACCTCACACCTGTCAGAATGGCTATTATCAAAACACCACAAATAACAAGTGTTGGCAAGGATGTAGAGAAAAAGGAACCCTCTTACACTGTTGGTGGGAATGTTAATTGGTGCAGTCACTATGGAGAACAGTATGGAGGTTCCTCTGAAAATTAAAAAATAGAACTACCATATAATCCAGCAATTCTGTTTCTGGGTATTTATCCAAAGAAACTAACTCAAAGAGATATCTGCATCCCCATGTTCACTGCAGCACTACTTACGATAGCCATGATATGGAACAACCCACGTTCCTATCAATGGATGAATGGATAAAGAA